ACCAGGAATTGTAAGCTCTAAGAAAATGTCAGCAGGGAGAAAAGTGCACAAGTTTCAGTAGCAGAGGGAGACATTAATCCTTAAACAAATCAATTACCGTACAAACTTTACATGTGATTACCGTACCATTAGTGGTGCTATTTGTAATCTCACACCAGCTTTCTAGACTTTAGCAAATTTATTATCTGTAATGTATCCCCCTTTGGCCCTGTCTAACCCTATTCGAGGCAATACTCAGGACAATTTCTATAGCAGCGGCCTCCCAGAGCCTCCTGATTCTCCCTCCACAAGCCCAGAGCACGTCAGGGAAAGAGAGGGCCTAACAGCATGGTAGTTCCATATTGCCACTGCTTTGTGACTGGAGCCAAGAAAAAGAAGAGAGAGTCTCTGGGTTTCTCACTTCCATGTCCTTCTGTGAAAACCATGACACTTATTTTTCATAATTTAAAATCCTGCCTTACTCTGGGAGCATTAGAATTCCTAGACTATGACTGAGTATTAGTGTGCGTCTGCTTTAAATGTCAAGAGAGTCTTTAATAATAACATGTAAGGAATGTTAAGATGGTGACAGAGTACAATAAAAGTAGGGAAATTCTTCGATTGGGGTGAAATGAGCCATATATTGCCCACCACCTGAATGCTATGGTTGGTGTGAAAGAAATCATTTAAAAGTTTTTCACTGGTACTAAGTTCTGAAACCATAGTTCGGCAAGGCAGATCAGAAATAACTGGTACCTGCTCAGTTTGGTAGAGTAATTTGAGTTCTGCTCCTTCTGGTCACTGCTTTTTCTCCCCTTGTTTTCTTCTTTTGATCACATGTACTTTAGAGACCTGTGTTATTGGATATACCCTACCTAAGTAACATGAATATGCTCTGCCTAAATCAGGTTAATCTGGATCATCATTGCATAATAAACGACTGAGGAAACCTGTAAGTTTTAAGGCCTTCTCTATCCATGGCCGAGAGTCGTGTCTCCCACTTAACTTGATTTAACTCGGACACTTTGGGTCCTTATTTAAAAATACTTACTGCCAGGTCTCACCATTGGAGTGTTGACTCCAGCACGTTTAGGTGAGACCCTAGTTGGTTAAATTGGAGATCATCATTGTGTGGGATAATCTGAACTCATCCATTCATTTAGGGGCCTGTTAAAACTCCATGTCCCCCTTTCCATGGAGGTTCTTTGAAAAGACATTACTTTTCATAATTTAAAATCCTGCCCAACTCTGGGAGCAGTAATTCAGCGTGACAGCTGAGAGAGAGACTAAGAGTTGTAATTTCAGTTGTTGTTCCAGGTGATTTTTAGAATCACATTAGTGTGGAAAACTCAGACAAACCATCATAGAACTGGGAACCTAGTCTTACTTCTCCCCCTTCCCAGTTCCCTGACCTCAGATATGTTTACCTTGCAAACCTCAGTTTCCCCAATTATAAAACAGAATAGGACTAAGGGACTTGAAATAGCCACAGTAGCCTCTTTAAATCAAAGGAGTGTCTTCACCCTTTCTTCTCATCTGCCCTCAAGAATTGTAGCATTTTTACACATACAAAGCCTTTCATTTATTTCAGCAGAGTTTTGTTTCTCGTGAGTGAGAACCACCAGATTGGCCTTAAAATGATTAGTCCTTCTGACAACATAGAAAATGGTGATGTTAAATGAACCCCAAACCATGTTCCCTTTTCTCTGTTAAAAGAATGAGTTTAATCTCAGTTTGTATCTTTGAGGATGCTGAATGGAGCTCCTAGCCTTTGGCAGTTATCAGTGGCTCGGGTGCAATACACAAATTCTGATCTTCCGCAGCCCAAACTATCTCAAACCTAATTTGTGGCCATGGCTAATCGAAGAGGAGATGACCTATTTCAGCCAAAGGGTAGAAAAATATTTGCCCAAGATGAGGGGAAGATACAGTGAGAACCTGAAACAAATTGCTAAGAAGTGGGCTTCCTCTTTCCTTCGCTTTCGGTTCCATTCTTGAAATGATCAAAATTACTTCTCTTCCCAGTTAGCCCAACTGCAACCTCCACTGAACCCATTTTGGCATATCCAGATTTCAAACATATAGTCAGCCAGCAGAAGTCTAGATACACTGGACCGATTTCACTTTTCTTAAAAAAAAAAATTGTTGAGCATTCATGAAGCACTAGTCATTTTGCTAAGCTTGTTATCTGCAAGAACGCTTCTGATCTTCAGAACACCCCTTCAGAGTTCAGAGATGATCATTCCATATTTAGAAGGAGAAACTGAGTACTTACAGAGATTACATAATGTGCTGAGGGTCATTGAGCTAGGATTTGAGTACAGCACAGTGTGATTGTTGTGTCCACACCCTAACCATTTACACTCTGCCACCGTTGTACAAAACGTGGTACAGAACAAACTCATAGATTAAAATGACCCCTGCACAAGCAACTTCTCTTATGTTTAGGCTGTTGGCATTCCTTTTATGCTAGATACTCATTTCATACCCACTGGGAAAGTTTTTTAGAGAGTAAATCTCTTTTGATATTTCAACACAAATTTTAATTTGTCAACCAAATTTTAGTGGGCCTTTGGCTTGAACGCCTCAACCTCCTTTTCTTTGGTTTTCATGGAATTTATAGTTTAAGAGGAAATGCTGGAATATACTTGCTAATACTAAATGTTTGTCTCCTCATCTTTTAATAATGAAAGGATGCCGTGAAAATTGATGGGGATGGTGAGCTCATGGGATGATGGCATAAGAAGTAATAAAGAATGTGAAAGCTTTTGGAAGGCTCAGTTAGTATTATAAATGCAAGACAGGGTGTGGTTTCAATAGGTGTGAACGTTTAGCCTTTTTGCCTAAAAAAAAGAAAAACTGAATTTGGCGGGTTTCTTTCTGTAATAGTTAAAACAGTTTGTTAGAGCTATAATTGATTTAAAGTGTAAAACTCTTTCAAGAATATGATACTATATGTTAGTTTGCACTAACCAAACAAAACCAGAAAGTTAGAAGTAGGGTGGTAGAATTGAGGTTCCTGGGTAACTCTCAGAATGGGTGATAAATTCTAAACAGTGTGCTCATGGAAAAATATGAATACGTTTCCAATGGCAGTTACCTCCAGGGTTTTTGGAAGTGACCGTGTATACAAATTTTAGGTATGTGTTTGCAATGTAGTGTTACTACCTTTGCTGACCAGTAAAAGATCAGCTTGGTAGACCTCTGGCTAGAAATATGGAGAAGATGATTCCTTTTGATGTAGGGGATTCAGATTTTCCTTGTACCACACTTAAGTCTTTATAACTGATACATCAACAATGTTTACCCCCCAAAGTCAGTCACAATTAATATTCAGCAGACTTCAGTAAATATCACCTCTCACCCTTTAATTTGTATTGTTCAGCATGGCAGATTACTTCTTGTTTTTAAGAAAAATACAATTGATTTCTTAATTCCTTCTGCCCCATGATAACTTTAAAACAAAACGTTTCTTAAAAAGTCTGAGTATTTGACATCAAAAAACTTAGGATACTTACATTAAAAAAAAAAAAAAAAAAGTAATGGCAGAAAAATACCATTCCCAACATTTTAATTGTTCTAAGCCACTTTGGAAAACTAAATTCCTTTAGCATTATGTGTTCAGAGAATCTTTTAGTTTGGCTGTTCAATAACTTACTAAGAACAGAGGAGGAATAACATCAAGTGGCTCCTAATATGGTATCATTTTCATTTCCTGTTTGTTGAAAGATAAATGCTAACACTGTAAGGCTTTTCTACTTTCTTTCTTAATTTATTCCTCCCTGAACCACAAGGGAATAAAAAGAAAAAAAAATCAAATGTGATATGGCTTGAGACTGAGTCATCCGGTAGGGATCAGCTGGAAGCTTTTTCCCTTCTCCCTTTTCTCTGCCTTTCTACAACCCCCAGCCCCCTTCCCCCTTCTTCCTTAGAAAATAACTGTATTTAAATACATAAGGTGTATATTTTTTAATTTGGGAATAATTTTAGACCTGAAAAAAATGGTTGAGTTTTAAAGGATTTAAGGTTAATTATGTGGCAGAACTAATGAGTCCCTCCTTAACTCTAAGGCATTACTTTGGACAAATGATCTACAAAAGTATTGAAATTAAACTGTATTCTCTCCCTCTCCCCTTCTTTCTCTCATATTAATCTCTTCTCCATTTTCCCTAAATGCCACAGCAGTTCTCTTAACTATCCCTTTATCTTTAGGGGATATATTTCCCACTTCTTTTACGGAAGTAATCATTATGCGTCCCCTATGCCCAACTGTCTTGAACTATCAAAAATATCGTGTTAAAGCAGTCCAAGCAAAGCATAAAGGATGTAGCTTCCAATAAGCAGTATTTGAGTGCCTACTGTGCATATCCAATTAGAAACTTGTGTGACTTCAGAAGATTGTTTTTTATAGAATAAGGAAACTTAAGATGAGACTAGCACATAGCAGGTACTCAAATCTTGAGTAAATGAATGAACCACCTTATTCTCCACTTGTTTGAAAATGGGAACCTGTCATCCCTTGTAGTCTGCTCCTGGCCTACTAATACCACGTGCCAGCACTGTCTTAATCTATGCCTACCTGTTCAGAAAGATGAAGCTAATTTTGCCTAAATGTATCCATCTGTCTAGGAGTTTTTCCATAACCACAACAGATGAATTTATGAGTTTCAGCTACCTAGCTCATTTTCCTTTGGATTTTCTCATGAATAAGGTTGGTTAATAGGTATGATTCACATTTGTCTTTTAGCTGTCTGTGTTCCATGGGACTGTCTGGTGCCAGCAGGTCTAGAACTCTCCAGTGAATGTCTAGTGTATCTTGTGTTGAGAAATCTCACACCAACACCTCCAGTTACTTAGAGTTTGGCAGTGGTCATGTAGATTTTGAAAACAATTAAGCAATGAAAATGATTTTATCATGTGCTGTGGTGCCATAGTATAATTTGTAATATGTATCATTTATAGTATTAAAAGAGCCATGCATCTTTATTCAGAGAAATAACAAAGCATTTTCTTCCTGCTAGCTTGCAAAAGACAAAGAGCGCCTGCAAGCCATGATGACCCACCTGCATGTGAAGTCTACAGAACCCAAAGCCGCCCCTCAGCCTGTAAGTAATGATCCCCACCAAGGGGAAAAAACAAAACTTACAGTATTCCTTTTCTGCTTCCCCACCGCAAACGCTGGAAGGAGGACCAGCCTGCTTTGGTAGAACTTTGAGTTTTGAAGGCCTTAGATTCATGCGACTGTTTCTGGTTACCTTTTATGACGAATGTAGTATGCTAGGCACTTGGGAATACAGGATGATTCAGACATGGTCCTTTCCCGTAAGACTCAAGCATTCAGCTCTTCTTTAAGGGCAGAATGACTGCTGCTAAAGCAAGGTACTGAAATACATTATGAGAGCTCCCTGGAAAAAGGAAGTCTTTCTGAATGGTAGGAACGCAGAGAAGACAGCCAAACCATGACAGCAAAGGAAAGAGGCATATCAGCTCGGGTAAGCTGAGAGACAGCAGTGTGTGAGAAAAAGAGCAGGGACTCGTCCAGTCTAACCGGAACAGAGGAAAGACATAAGAAACTTACTGTTGGAACAGTCAGAGGCTAAATTATGGAGAGGCTGTAATGGTTACTAAGGAGTTTGAAATGAAAATTATTCCTTCACAGTTAGGAGCCCAAACATAGTATACTGAAATTACATTTAATTTATAAGAATCTCCTCTTTCTTGCCTTGTTCCCTTTTACTGGACCCTGAAGGGCATCATCCCAGCACAGGCTGTTAGTATCAAAGCAGAAGGATGGTGTCTGAACCTAAAATTTTGTCTTGGACCTCCTTCCTTTTTAATGAATGGATCTCTTTAACGGTTGTATTTCTCTTACATTTCTAAAATTCTTCTAGTAGCTTTAACTGATTATTCAAAATGGAGACAGTGCTTTGCTCCTTGATTTTAAGATTTGTAAAATTTAAAGGTACACTGCCTTTATTTGATTTTGCTTGGAGTCACTGTGTGAAAATTAATTGAGCGTTGACAATCTATAGTTAGTACCAGCAATTTTAATCAATATGCAATGATGCAGCATAATGGCAAAGTATTGGTTTATCTGTTTTGACTGATTTTTTTCTATAAATAAAGCAAACATACACCCATATATGTATGATTTATGGTGATAGAAATAAAACGGAGTCAGACTATTAACCCAGCAAATATGGTAGCCTGCCAAGATGCAGTTGGCAGGCAAAATTAATGTCTGAAACAGAACACATTACTGAGATATAGGACATAAAATCATTAAACACTTCGCGCATCCATTTTTACTAAGAAGGAGTCCTTAGTTGCCATGTATTTTACAGTGAATGGCTGTAAGACTGGTTGTGTAGGCTACCAAAAAGAAAGGAAAAAAGGAACCAGGTCATTCCGCGTTGTGGCATCAGTAGTCAGCGGTGCCGTTTCTAACAACTCCTCCTGCTAAAGGAGGATATTGGGAAGATCATGAACCCAGCTAAGCAAATTGGCGAGCCTCAGAGACGACTTGGCTGAAGTCATCTCGAAGAGGCATAGCTGCCTGCACGAGACATTCACTGCCCTGGAACTTTCTGAAAGTGTTTAGACAGCTTTAGTGAAACAGTTTTCCCAGATTGAACGGTTTGGGAGTTTTCACCCAGCTACGAGGAAGAGAAGGAGATTATCTCTGTCTTCTTCCACGGATCAAAAACAGCGATAGGATGATGATTGGACCCAGCTCTATAGGCGTAGATCTTGGGCTCCTTGGGAGGAGGAAGGCTACAGTTCAAGAGAAGGAACTGCAAAACCCCGTAGGGCGCTCAGCGAGTGACTGGGCTGAGTGTTGGCAGAGAGCACCATGTACGCGAGCCCCGTGGGCCACAAAAGGACCATTGGGATTCTCCACATGGACCAGAGGAAGCAGGCGGTAAACAGGGAGAAGCCAGCCATGGGGGAAATGAACAGGGATGGAAGGTTTGTCTTGATTAGTATTTAAAAAAAATGTTTTGCATTCTAGAAAATTATAACTTTGAAGGGGACCTCCTACTAAATTTATTTTTAACTGCTCTATTGAAAATTCTCTACCACTAGTCAACATTATCTCTTAGTAGCTCAGCACAGTATTTCTTTATTAAAAGAAATAGGCACGAATATTTTTGACTGAAAAATTAATAGCTTTTGAATTCATACACAGCAGGTTTTCTTTTGCAAAGAAGTCCAATATCGCTGCACAGCACTTCTATAACCATTTATTTAGAGTCCAAGTCAAACCTTTGACAGCTAGAGCAGCGCTACAAGCCAATATAAAGAACTCCAAGATGTAAACCAACAATGGGCCGTCTGTGTGAGGTTTGCCATTGTCAAATACATAGATTGTTTGGATTAGTTTATGTAAATGTACTGTTGTATTACCCTTTGAGAAAAAAAAAGATCACATTTGTGTATGAAAAGTGGTTCCCTTCACAGGCAGCATTATAAATTCCTTATCCTTTAACTTACATGTAAGAAGTAAAAATTGGTGCCTGACAAGCAGATATTGTGTGACACTCTGTTGTCAGAGTGAACCTGCCTTCTTTTCATTTATTGGAAAATAGAAAATTTTATTACAGATACCATCTTATAAATCAGGAATTATTAAAATATGTATAGGTGAGGCATTGGGAAATTAATTATAAAAAGTAGATGTGTAATGTTTTGCATAAATTTTCACTTCTTTGCCAAAAAGAGAAAAGAAAAAAAAAGAAGGGCAAGCACATGCAGCCAACCCTTGATGCTTTCAACTTTAAGGGCCCAGAGCTATCTGGTGACTGATTCTCACATGCAAAATCCCTGCAGTCTGTAATTAATTTATTCCGCCCTAAATAATAGAATGCATGGTATTTGTTTGAATGAGTATCCTTCTGGAATCTTTGATTTGAAACAAGCAGTCACCAGGATTCAAATCTAACCATAGATAGGGACTTTCATGTTACAACCTTGCCAGTAAGTTCATGAAGCTTTTTCTTTTTTCCATTTCTGTGTAAAAGAAACCTCATGTTTATTTTAAAATTCTTAGTCACTAAGTGATAGAATGCTTTGCTGTAAATGTTGCTTTTCGCTTTTCACTAAATGCCATTTGGGTGTTAAGTGTCATTTGCTGTATCCAGTCATTCAACCAGTCCTCAGCTCATTGCATCAAAGAAACTGCTAAAACATTCTTAGATTGTTTTTACATCCGCTCATAGACACATTTTCTGGATCCTATTGTGGGATTCATCAGATTTGGATAGTTACAGGATACACTAATCTTGGGAAGGTGCCTAAGTTTTTAGACATGGATCTGAGGCAGAAAGCTTATGGGTGAACTGGGACAGGAGCTCACAGGCTTCCCATCCCTCAGACTCCTTCGACAGCCTTTCTTCCTACCTGCTGTCACATTTCTTTAAACCTAAGTAAAATCTTCCTTTTAGAACAAAACCAAAGACTCAAAGTGCAGGTTGGTTATGGAAAGGGATTTCCTGCATTTACAATCAGACTGTTCCAACAACCAGTGTTTCTTGAGCATGTGACATACAGAACAAAAAGTAGTCTGTCACATGAGTGAGGCCCATCCCCGCCACGGAGGTGTTTGGAGTCTGGTAAAAGAAACTGGGAGATAACTACATACACACTCACACATTGTTACTTTTCGTCAGTTGCGCTACCTGTAAGTAAAACAGCTGACCCAGGATGGTAAAGTCAGGGGAGACTTCTGGGAGAAATAACATCTAGGCTGAAACCTAAAAGATGAATAGGAAGAAATGCTAAGAGGTCAGCTTCGTGGACCTTAGGTTAGGACTCAGTGCACGATACGGTCTCTGAGTGGCGAGGATCAGTGTAGAGGAAGGAAAGGAATCGCCAACATCAGTTAAGACAAGCTTTTCAAACTTTCAGTTTTTTTAAGTCTGGAAACTGCATGGAAGTATATAGTATGTGTAAGTTTCAGGAGCATCCCTAAGTTCTAGCTATCAGGTACATAGACCAGAAAAGCAGTTCTTGTATTTAGAATGGCCGCATTTCTTGTTATTTTAAGTTTTAAAAGATTCTGTTCTTTCCCGTGGAAAGAGAAGCAAAAAACAAGACAATAGTAAACTGCCCTAATGAAAATAATTGATATTCTTTTGTTCTAAACCCAGTAAACATTCTCAAAGTAAATACCCAAGTGTATTTCTGGGAGGTTAATTTCTCCATGCTTACCCTATGGAGAATTTGCCAAGATACTTCATTTGGGAGAGGGAGTGAAAAACTAAGAGGACAAAACAAAAACAACAAAAACATGTCTGTGGTATGATGACTCTATTAAATTGCTACGAAATTCTTAAAAAGACTTGACTATCTGTCATTATGTCAGGAAAACACTGTAAATCGTATTTTATAATACTGAATACATGAGAGGTACGCTTTGCTTCAGGGTATTCCTACACATCAGAGAACAACTCCTGCTCCTGGAGAAACCACATTCTTTTAGATTTGGTGGGCACGTAATTATAGTGTAGGTGGTATATCCTTCTTGCCGAAAATCTTATAAAACACTTACAGGAACTTGCATATTTGGAATGAAACACAGTATTAGATTTTCATTTTTACACATTTTCTTTTCCTCTAACCATAGCAATTAGGACTGTTTTGAAAGCGTTTTTAGCTCCTGTAAAAACAAAGTGCCCCCTGAAAAAAAGGGTCTTTTAACTCTTCAAGGATCATTTGGGCTGCCTAGGTCCTTGCTTTAGAGTTGGAGAAATAATATTAAGCAGTCATAAAAAGGGATTCTCAGGCACAACACACAAAAGCTGATTTATATACTGTTTTTCTCATTAAGTGCTCCCCCACCACCCGAACTAGAGTGTTTTTTTTTTTTTTTTTTTTTTTTTTTTTTAATTCTAGTATCCCTGCCAGTACCACTACCTTCTAAGTCACGGCCCTCCACAAGCACCGTCTCTAAAACATGGCCAGGCTCAGATGGTAGAGGAGAGCAAAGGCTTTTAACAAAGGCCCCCAGCTGCCACCCACTGTCCTGCCCTCTGCGCGGCCTTGTACCATCCCGCCAGTCTCAGCAAGGCCATGTCTGAACTCAGTGATTCATGCCTAGAAACGCCACCACCGTGCACTTAAAGCAGGACTTCAGCTGGCTCAGGCCAGTAAAACCAAGAACAGAAAAACAAGTTCTGTGAGCCCGAAAGTCCCTACTACGCAGTTGTGTCCCTTGGTGTTTGGGTTTCAGGTCTGTCTTTTGTTCTCAGAATCTGTTTTCATGTGAGGCAAGAGCACAAACAAAAATAAAAATGAGTTCTTATGGGAATACTTACAAGTCTGTTTCTGTCAGGGGTTTACATCAGCAGTTTATTTATTTTTTTAATGCGAGTGACTCATCATCTTTAAACAGGAGGGGAGATCTGACTGTTAAAAACTTTTTTTTTTTTTAAAGGACTAAGCAGAATAGTGGGTAGCTGATGAAGTTTGAATAGTTTCGATGGCTAAAAGAAAAACTGACGCCTGAGAGTACAAATAAATTTAAAATATAAAACCCTACAGTAATTTTAAGTGACATAAGAATTTAACTTTTGGCCAGAGTTTCAAAGAGATTATCTTTGCTGAAATCATCACATGATGGAAACTTGCCATGTAGAAAATATCAGAGTTCTGACTCTTCTAAACATAGCAACTTCTTTTTAAATAGAAAATGAACACAATAAGAAAAATAGGCTTTCCATCAGGAAGAGAAACCCTCCCAGCATTCTCTTCCTGCTCCATGCCCTAGAAAAAATTATCTTTTAAAACCTTAACTACAATCAGAAACACAAAGCATAGATGCTTTCATTTCTAATTGATGATTAAGATTTAATGGTTTACAATTAAGATGAATATTTCAAGATTACAGCAAAAACCCACACCGTTCCCCATTTTCTCTTCTGTTCTAAGTCTGTAATTAATTTTTTTTTTTTTTTGAGGGGGGCACTCTTTTTCAAAGAGGCCTTAATTAAAAGAGCAGGTTTGGTTTGAACACAGAGCCTGTTTTGAATCTTTCTTCTCCATTCTCTCTCTCAACCTTCCCTTTCGAAAGTGGTTTCTCTCCAGGACAAGCACGTGATCATCAAACAGAAGTTTAAAAGTTAAGACACTTCTAAATCAGTTGACAAGGTTGACATTTCATTAACTTGTTGGTTCAGCCTTCAAACGATTTTGTGTGGCAAAGCATCCTGTACTTGGAGTGTACAGCTTTTTCTTCTTCCTTCCCTCATAGGCTACAGTCATGTTTAATTTGGAATCTGGGCTCCTTTGGCAAATTAGCAATTAGAACAATTTTGTGGGAATATGTATATGTGTCATTAGTTTTCCTGCAAATTAATAGCAAGGGCAGAGGTCAGGCAGAAATTTTCCACTTGACTGCAGCTCCTCTATTGAGACTTGGCACTTGGTTTTGGAATGGCCACAGCTGCTCTCAGCCACCCTCTTCCTCTAGGAACTGTCTTTTAATTAGTTTACCTCATAGCCATCATTACAAATATTACTGCTCCCCTCCTTGAAATAAAATTACTGTTTCTACAAAATATTCCAGTGACATCTTGCACCACTGCACATTGATGGTGGGGTCACTCAAATGCAGCATTTAATCATTAGATCACCTCCATCCGCGTCTCCTAATTAGAGCCCTTACAATACATTTTTATCTGGTAATTAGCTGAGATTGGCTGCTTCCTCTGTGGCTTATTAGAGACAGCCCAGCAGTGGGTGTGAATCACGGTGTCATTTGTCAAGCCTGGTAAGCCTCCTCTCTGCTCTCTTCGGGCTCAGTGTTTCTTTCCACTTGCTATGTTCAAAAGCCTCCAGAAAATTCTACCTGTCTCTCTTCCTTTGTGGATTATGCTAACTTGGAGGGATTTTACTTTTCACTGTTACCTTTTTTTGCTAGAGTCCTAGTGGTGAGATCTTGGTAAAAGCTATAAGAGTCACATCCTTTCTGCTTTGATGACATTTTTTTGTGGGATTTGTCTATTCTTTGCTGTGAGCACCCAGAAAGATGAGCTTGCACTTGCTGAATGAGTTTTGATTTCTGACATTGAAACTAGAGCTCAGTAAACTTGGTGATCTTCCTCCCAAAACTGGAAGGGAACGTGCATGAAGGACATTATAATTGTTATTGCATCTTAAAAGAAAGCCACAGTGTTTAGGGAAATGTTCTTAAACTGAAAAGAGAAGCCAAGAAGCAGAGTTAGTCCTCAGAATTGCATTGTGATTACTGTGTATCTTTGCCTTTGACATATGTGTTTGGTGGTAAGCACTTTAAGGGCAGCAATTCGGTGTTTTATTCCTCTTTTTGTCATTATAGGACTAACTGCCTTATATTTGCTCAGTTACATGTGTTGAATGTCATGCATAAGCAGGGATAAAATGCTCTGCACAGAATCTTTTCCAAAAATGAGTATACAGAAAAATGAAACTGGTTAGTGTTCATTTTTCCCATTAACTGTGCATAAGATGATTATACAAAGGATCTAGAATCAAATAAGTGTGTGGTTTGACTTTGGGTCTGGGTCGGGAATATGGGCCAATTATTTAATCTCGCCAAGCCTCAGTTTGCTTATCTGTAAAATATGAGTAATAACATCTCAGATATTAGTGGTGGTAGGAGAATTAAAGGAGACCACACAGTGGCAGGTGCTTTCAAACATGATTTTTACAAATGTTACCCATGACTTTCCAAAGTGCTCTGAGATTCTTAGGCTTAGCAACGTTTGAATTATAAAAGCTGTATATTTATGAGCATTAGCCTTTCATGCACTAATTTCCTTGACCCTTTGCTTGGGCTGATGCTTATACGTACTGTTCCTGGACTTGGTCAATGATTAAGGCCTGAGGTGAAGAAGAGGTCAGCCCCAACTCTTCCCCGCTTGGCTTCTCAGCTCTGCCCCATCCTGCGGCTGCTACTCTGAACTGTTCACACTTAGTTTGCAAATGCGTGTCATAAAGTCAGGTTTCCAGCACTATAGAGAAAAAGCAGCTCCCAGCATCTGCTCAGCTTGCTGGGGCATTTGTAAGGGCAGTGCCATCTCCGTAACTTGCTCTTCTTGGGGACTGTCTATTGCTCACCGAGTTAACATTCTACACCGAAAATAAAAAGCACAACTCAACGCTCACAAATTCCATTTCCAGCGCCATGTTTACATTTTTCCATTAGTATTTCTTCGTGATATTTGATCTTTCTTTTCTTCAGATTCATTGCTTTTTTTTTTTTTTTTTTTTTTTTTTTTTTATGAAACTCACCCAAACATATTAGGATTCTCATGGCCTTTTTTTTTTTAACTAGAGTATGAGTAAAGGTCGAGTCTTCCCAACATATTGGAACTCTCTTTTAATAAGTTCTTTGATTATGATCTCAGAGGAATCTCATTTTTAATACCTTCCACAAATACTGCCTTGTACTTAAGACTGACTGTAGCAATGGTGAATTAGACTTCATGAAATAGACTTACTGTGGTGAGTGATTTGAAATCTGGTTTTAGAAAATGTTACCAAGTAAGCCTACTTTACTGAAGAAGTTTCTTGGATTTTCTTTGTATCTGAGATAGCATATAAACAGTAATATGCTGAAAACAACCAAATTCTTCAGCATTGCCAGACATAAAGTAATATTTATGTTCTAACATGTTTTGGAAAAGGGTTATCCCTTTTAGTATTTGTTAGAACAGCACTTCAGGGTGAAGGTAAGAGAGAAATTGAAACAGTTACGTTTATATCATTTTTTATATAAATATATATTTACATATAGATATGTTTATATTATTTTTTATATAAATATTTATATCTATTATTTTCTTTCTTTCCTTCTTTCCTTTCTTTTTTGAGGTAGAGTCTCAGTCTATCACGCAGGCTAGAGTGCAGTTGTGTGAAGTCAGCTCACTGCAGCCTCTGCTTCTTGGGCTCAAGCTGTTCTCCCACCTCAGCCTCCCAGGTAGCTGGGACTACAGGCGTGAGCCATGACATGTGGCTAATTTGTGTGTGTGTGTGTGTGTTTTGGGTTTTTTCAAATAGAGACAGGGTTTCTATTTGTTGTCCAGGCTGGTTTCAAACTCCTGGGCTTAAGAGATCATCCTGCCTCAGCCTCCCAAGGTGCTGGGGTTACGGGTGTGAACCACTGTTCCTGACCTATTTTCTTCTGTCCTACTTCAAATAAGTAATATTTATTTACTAACTTGAAGTAGATTATTTTCTATTTTATAGAAGATTCAAAACTTGAAGGAAAAAAATTCAGCAAAAACCTCACATTTCCAGATCTCTGTATTCTGTAAAAGAATATCACATTAAAAAAAAATTAATAGATACCAAGCCTTCATTTGATAGATTTAATAAAGATTGTCCATAAAGCTTTTAAGAATTATTTTCTGCTAACTGATGGAAACAAATGACGGCTGTGGGATCAGGGGCATTGTGTTTAATATATGAGTGATAGGCCACACATATTTGCAGTAGTTCTTGTCATCCAGGAAGCTGCATGATGGCCTTCAGTAGTCTCTCCTGGGCTGTCCACTATGGTAGCTACTAACCACATGGGACTCTTTCCTTTTAAATTCATTAAAGTTTAATTTTAATTTTTAATTTTTATTAAGTAAAAAGAGGTCTTGGGTTGTGCTAGGATATTGCAGAAAGTTCTTTTGGACACTTCAGATGTACACCAGCGTGTTCCAACTTGTATTTGCTAAAATATTCAGCTTTACTGGTATTGCCAAGGACTCTGGAGCTCTTTGAGGTTGACAAGGCCTGATGGGCGATGAAAGTAGTTGAGACATCACGATCAAAGAAATGTCTTGACTCAGGCTTTCTCAATCTCACTCAGGTAGGTAGCCCCTTTTTGAGTCCGTAAACACCCACGTAGCAGCCTTTTGAAAAGAGACTGCTGCCAGAGATATCTTATGCTGCATCCTAAGTGAATTGTGTTTACGCAGGACTCAACTTGTGTTTCGGTCCGTGGTAGATGTATCTGCTTAGAGAAAGAGCACTGTCCATGCATCCTCTGTATTACTCCCGCTGGATGCGTGGTTCCTGGGTTTCTGTTTTCCTGAAGGTCTCTAAGACATCTCTTATTTTCCCTCACAGCTGAATCTGGTATCAAGTGTCACTCTCTCCAAGTCCGCATCGGAGGCTTCTCCACAGAGCTTACCTCATACTCCAACAACCCCAACTGCCCCGCTGACTCCCGTCACCCAAGGCCCCTCTGTCATCACCACCACCAGCATGCACACGGTGGGACCCATCCGCAGGCGGTACTCAGACAAATACAACGTGCCCATTTCTTCAGGTAGATACTCCACGTTTTGCCTCACGTAGAGTTGTAATCTGCAATTCTTGTAGACCAGCCCATTTTTAAAAACTGATAATTAATAGGACAATGATTCTTATTCAGCAGATATTGCGCAGAACCAAGAATTTTATAAGAACGCAGAAGTTAGACCACCATTTACATATGCATCTTTAATTAGGCAGGTAAGTAAATAACACAGTATATGAAATTCTATCAAAAGGTGTATGTGTACATGGATAGATATTGATGAAGTAGATTTAAAACCGATTAGTATGCAAGCATGCTGAAACCTTTTCTATAAGGTTTTTTAAAACTGCAATATATAACATAATTGCTTTTGATTAAGTATTACAATACGATGTGATTATTAGGAAATTCATTTCACACAACAGTGAAAATGAGCCTGTTTAAAGATGGCAAGTCAATTATCACAAGCTACAGTAATCTCTGATCCCTAGAATTAATCTGAGCTCTAAATAATTACTGAGCTTTAATCAGCTAGTGAAATGTTTTGCATTTCTCTTTGATTCTGCTTTATGAATGACTAATAAATTAATATTTCTGTACGGAAACAGAAATAAAAACTCAAAACAATTAGATAATTCCATTTTGAATTTTGCTATTGAACTATTAAATACAACCATTAATCTTAGATCATTTTGCGAAACCTTTCTCAGGATTTAGCTCTGAAGCCCAGTGATTGTGTATTTTGGAGAAACTGTGTAACGACGACTCTGCTGATTTGGTCATAAATTATCTTCTGTTACATTGTGCTTCACAGGCCATTCTCGAATCTCCAGAAAAGCAGCTAACACTAAATGAAATCTATAACTGGTTCACAAGAATGTTTGCTTACTTCCGACGCAACGCGGCCACGTGGAAGGTAAGCTTTCTCAGGCCTGTTTAGTCTTGGGTCGACATTCAGAGAACAGTTTGTTGTTGATAAAATGCAATTGTGCTGTAAGGAAGCTACATTTGTATTCTTTTGATATTCTTAAAGTGTCCAATCTGTAGGTGTACTTGATTGGGAAAGCAGGGTGATTGTGGCTGAAGTGCTTGGATGGAAGACTCTCATTACACAGGCATCAGCGGCTTGGGGGGGCCAGCCAGTAAAATGATCTGTCTGGTTGGAATACGTAGAGAAAGGGAGATGACACTGTTGCCCAAAAGTTAAGGTTGCCATATTATTTCCACAAACACCATGCTGTTCGGTCTTCAGCCACAGCCAATATTTGCAGAGATGTATCTCCAGAGGTAGAACCTGGAGAAATGACCAAACTTGACGCAGCCTTCAATGGTTGGATGAAAAGCTCATTCACCCATTTAGTAGAGAAAGCTGTGCAATCTAAGTACTAGCTGTTAATGGAGAACACAATGTATTATTAAGCGTTTGTTTTTTTTAAGTCAAGAGATTGTTGGCTGTTGGCCAGGCACAGTGGCTCATGCCTATAATCCCAGCACTTTGGGAGGTTGAGGCAAGAGGATCACTTGAGCCCCAGAGTTTGAGACTGGCCTGGGCAACATAGTGAGACCCTGTCTCTCCAAAAAAAAAAAAAAACTTTAGCCAGGCATGGTGGCATGCACCTGTGGTCACAGCTACTCCAGAGGCAGAGATGGGAGGACTGCTTGAGGCAAGGAGGTTGAGGCTGCAGTGAGCCCTGTTCATGCCACTACACTCCAGCCTGGGCAACAGATCAAGACCCTTTCTCAAAAAACAACAAAAACAAAGATTGTCCCTCATAGATATACTAAGGAAGAAAAGTAGATTGTAGAAGTTCATTATAACACTATTTGCTATAAAAACATGTCAGATGGCTGGGCGTGCTGGCTCAAGCCTGTAATCCCAGCACTTTGGGAGGCCGAGGTGGGTGGATCACGAGGTCAAGAGATCGAGACCATCCTGGTCAACATGGTGAAAACCCATCTCTACTAAAAATACAAAACATTAGCTGGGCATGGTGGCGCGTGCCTGTAATCCCAGCTACTCAGGAGGCTGAGGCAGGAGAATTGCCTGAACCCAGGAGGCAGAGTTGGCGGTGAGCCGAAATCGTGCCATTGCACTCCAGCCTGGGTAACAAGAGTGAAACTCCGTCTCAAAAAAAAAAAAAAAAAAAAAACACCACATGTCAAATTCCCTAGTTTTTATTGGATGACCCCAGCAGTGCTTGGAGTTAATATGGCTTACCTCATTCCCAGTTCAGCAGCTGGTTCAAAGATTTCACTGGTATTACTTATTCCCTTCTATTAGATTGAGCCCTCAGGCATTCTTGGGCTTTCCCATTTTTGAATATTTTTGCTTATAGAAGGGGACAGGTACACTCTGTCATTTGTATTTTTGCTTTTTTTTTTTTTTTTTTTAACTACCTGGAATTCTTTTAACCCCCGAAATCCAAAACATTTAGAGACATGTAATACAAACATTTGAGGATATTTTTCCGTGTGATTGATCTAAATATGATAGGGATGTGTTACAGGATGCAAGGAAAACTTCCTTCACTTGAAATAAATGCCTTCCTTGCTAATTCCTTAATTTTATACTGGAGAAAAACCAAAGCAAAAAACAGAAAAATTTATTTTCTCTGTTAAGTTCCTGATAAATTAATATTTTAAAACGAATATAAGCATAGAATTAATTCATCAACTTTACAGAGCTGTGAATCTCTATTATGGCCCAAATTATCCTTTCATTTCCATTAAGACACTTGGGCACTGAAGGGAACCAATGTTCAAAATCTTACCCTCTTTGCCTCAGCCTGCCTTAGGAGATAAAATATAAAAGGATCTTTAGCCATGAATGCTTTTAAAAATTTAGGAAGTTGAAGCAAGAGGCAGACATTTTCTTCAGATTGCCTTTTATAAATGGAAATGATGAAATTTAAAAATAATTACCAGTTGTGAATATAATATTTAAGCTTAGATCTTCAGATTGAACTTTTTCATTTTGCAAACTGCAGGAAAAAAGTGTCATTAATATAAACAACCTTAGATGAAGTACTTAATGACTCATAAATAGGTATAATTTTCTGTGTCCTTATTTTCACCATGATCTTAGACAAAAGATGAAATGCTCAGTTAAAGTTATGACTGAAAAGAGCTTACACATCTTTTTTGAAAACTCTTGACTTCCAGTTGCTTTCTGCTTAGATGTGCAGTTTTGGGAAACAGAACTGAAGTTTTGGCTTTGTGTCTTGACTCACATGGTTATATTGCTCAACCTGATCTACAGAAATTATTTTATTAGAAGTAGCTTTAAGCCCTTTCAGTTTTATACATTTTGATACTTATTTTAAAACATCAGACAGTGATTAGGATTAGAAGCTATGTTGATTTCTTTCCAAGTTATGTCTCCTAGACATATAATGCCCAGATTTGTAAAGGAAATTGGCTTTATCTGTTTATTTGTACCACCTCAGTTTTGTTCTAGTAAATAACAATGGACCTTCTGTCGTATGCCTTTGGGTAATATATTTTTTAAAATGCAGCCAGGCACAGTGGCTCCTGCGTGTAATCGCAGCACTTTGGGACGCTGGAGGATCAGTTGAGCCCAGGAGTTCAAGACCAGCCTGGGCAACATAGCAAAATCCCATCTCTACAAAAAGATTTTAAAAGTTAGCTGGGGGTGATGACACATGTCTCTAGTCCCAGCTACTCTGGAGGCTAAGGCAGGAGGATCTCTTAAGCCCAGGAATACAAGGCTTCAGTGAGTCATAATTGAACCACTGCATTCCAGTTGGGCAGTAGAGCAAGACCCAGTCTCTTTAAAGAAAAATTGCTCAAAGACTAGAATGCATTTTATATGCAAAGAAAATTGTCCTATCAAGTGTATGACATGCCAAATGTTTTCAGTTTAGAGATTTTTGTTTTTAAGCAAACTCATCCAGTTTTTTTTTGAATCATGAGTGTCCTTTTGTTAGTCACCTGGGTTATCTTGAACCTACCTCTTGTTATGCTGATATTACTTAAAAACTCTTTGGGAATTGATCATGTGAATTCTCCTTTCAAGTAATGCATCATACCATGCATTAAAACTTGTCTCATTATCTTCTAAATATTCCGTATCAGAAAAGAAAAATTATGTAGCTCTGATCCTTACAGTCACCAATTGTAATTGTCCCAACACTGAAGCACCTCTCAGAGTAGCAAGATTCACCACCATTAAGGGTAATTCAGGAAGGAAATACTCCAGGTGGCAGAATGGGGAGGGGTGCAAAATGCTTGTGCTGGAATTGAGTGAGGACTTCACATAGTATGTGAGGTGTGATGTTTATGTCAACTTCTCAAGCCCCAATTGAGTGATCTTCTCATTCTGAATAAGATGACAATTTTAAATGACGTGGATCTCTTTAGAATATCTTCATGTCCAGCACTGAGTCCAGATCCCTAGGTTTAACCAGGCAGGACTAAAGAAAGGATCCCTTGCTTGTTAACTATACCTAGTAAGGGTTAGGGATTCTTCCAAACCCAAAAGAAAGATGAGATACTAAAAGCTCTTCACCCTTGAGTTGAGATCCTCCTTTTTCATAAATTATTGATGTTAAGGGTCTCAGCTTAGGAATGGCCAGAAAGGACTAATAACCATACAAGATGGGTCCGTAGAAACGCCAACTGTAGGAATATAGTCATTTTGCCATTGAGAGTTCTACTTGTGTTCCTTTGGCATTTACTCAATTAAAATACTTGCCCATATATAATAGTTCGAGCCATCTCTTAGACATAGCTGATCTCTTGTGGGGTCAGTTTACCCCGAATCCTTCAGCTACACAAGGTGATATTCTCGGTGGTAAAAGCTACTTTAGAATTTTTCATAAGACCTATGGAAGTTTTAAAAGCCAGAAACTATTTAGCAGTATTAACCAAGTGTTCCTCTTTCACGGTTTGAAAAAAATACCCCCTTTTTAGGGGAGGTAGGTGGGCTTAAAAGGGGCAGTTTGATGCTTTGCATGTTTTATTGTTTAACATTTTCAGATTTGTACACTGGAACCGATTTTGGGCTTGTATGCATACTAAAAACTTTCTTCTGGTTCATTATTACCAGAGACTAGATGAAAATGCCAACATGCAATTAATTTATAATTTGAGTTTATTTTTTGCTTTTGGAAAAGACATCCTTAACCATGAGAAGGTCCTCCATGGGGGTGGTAGCTGCAGCTCTTGGGGATGGCGTTACAAATGTGGACTGTTAGGCTGAATTTACTGCTGTTTTTGGAGTCTTTTCTTATAGAAAATGTAAATGTTCTCTCTTTTATACTTGCTGCAGAATGCAGTGCGTCATAATCTTAGTCTTCACAAGTGTTTTGTGCGAGTAGAAAACGTTAAAGGGGCAGTATGGACAGTGGATGAAGTAGAATTCCAAAAACGAAGGCCACAAAAGATCAGTGGGTACGTCCACCATGTTTGAACTTCTTAGCCTAGCTTGGATTGTGCTAACAAGTATAACGTAGAGGCTTTGGCTGCTAGATGGTGTTAGACCAAAGAACTGGTTTCACGTTGTCTCAGCTAAGGGAAGCAAAAAAGCATTTCATCCCTCCTGTTTTGTATACCCACCAGTCCCCCTGCCCTGCTTGCTGGTCTTTGTTGCATCACATGCTAGTAGCTTTTAGGTGGCAATGCATATTAACCCTCACAAACCATTTGCTTATGCTTATTGCATTTTATTTTCTTTTTCCTGTTCCCTGTATTGGATGTCTGTTCTGCCCCCAACCCCGTCTCCTTTTGTTGCCACTCCATCTCCTTTGCTGCTGCTCCTATCCCAGGGTGCCATTCGCACCAACCTCTCACTGCATAAGTGCTTTATCAGAGTAGAGGATGAGTTTGGGTCCTTTTGGACAGTTGATGATGAAGAGTTTAAACGTGGCCGCCATATTCAACGAGGCCGTCCTCGCAAATACTGCCCCGATGAAAACTTTGACGAGCTTGTCGCACAGTAAGAGCCTTTACTTGCTTTTGTTTTTTTTTTCTGCTGTTGCTTTGGCTTTGCATGGTTGACTCATCCCATGTAGTTTTGCATTTCACCAATAGCAGTGCCACAGCTTTCTGCAACGAAACTAAATTGTGTGATTTGTACATGTATTGCTCTCGTTTCTCTTTGGAACACCAGTGCCTTGAATAATGCTTTTTTGACGTCTTTAATTCAAATATTGGTGGTATTTTGATTCAGCAGCTTACAGGGACCCTAGAACTAAATTCTTGTGCTTAACCCATAATCCCCCCCAAGTAAAAAGGGAATTTTTGGTTAGAGTTAAAATGTGTGTGTACTACTGGGCTAGACAGATTTCTTCTTACTTGTTCACTCATTAGAATAATGTAAACGTAATGAGATGAATGATTAAAATGTTCCAAGCACAGGAAGGAAATAGGTAATATCGAGTATACTTCCTTTAAAGGCCTCTGATAAATGTAGGTAATTGCTTACTGGAAGGTACTCTTTACCCTCAGTATGCTCAATATATATTTTTTAGTATTTTTATCCTTTTGAGGCTAGAGATTTTCTGAAAACAGTATGTTGGCTTCATTTGGTCCAGGAACGGAGACAGCAGCAAATATTCTCAGACCCTCCCAGATTTGGCTTAGACATCCCCTTATTTAGGAACGCCCCTCCCCTGGCATACCCTACTCTCCACATCCCATTGGCAATAAACGTGCCTTGTAGATGTTCCCTAAAAGCCGTCTTGCCGTCCCTCTAGCAGTCACTGTAGAGTTCAAATCTCGAGGACGCTTACGAGCCAAGATTCTCTCTGCTCACGCCCAGCAGCCCCTGCTGTGAGCTAGCTCACTGCCTTCCCCAGCACAACCACCTAGACTGCTTGCTGCCTTCCTGTTGGAGGCTGGAGTCATGGTAACTCCTAAAAACCTGCAGAGAGAGAGCTCTGGAGGGAGGACCCGAGCCTGTTACTACCTAAGCCAGAATTTTACACCCAGTTTCCTTCAGTAGCGGAGTCTGACAACCCCAGAGGGTACACACAAACCAGCCCCGCAGAGCAGTGACAGGGAGAAAGCCTGACTTTCCTTCGGTTTTGTTAGTGGGGGAAATTGCTGATTTGGAAGGACACCAGCAAGCTTAAAACTTAGCTAGGAACTCCGGAGTCGACTGTGTTTAACTTTGAGTTTTTATCTTTTTCTTACACAGTAACCCTTCCCTTATTAAAAACATGCAGAGCAGCCACGCCTACTGCACACCTCTCAATGCAGCTTTACAGGTAAGATTAATGGCCGTCCCGAATATGCAGCAGAGGCACAGGTCTCCCCCACTCATTTCAAAATATATTAGCCTTGCTCTAATTAGATATTAAATTTTAATTCCGTTAAACTTTTTTCTTAAGTGCACAAAGCATCGTACTCCCTGGAGGCAAACACATCGGGCTGCTTCAGCATTAGCGGATGCTTAGCATTTTGAATATTGTGGCAAAAAAATTAAAAGTTCACTTATTAATATTTATCAGCAGTATCATAATTTCCATCCTCTTATTTCAGAATTTCACTTGAGGCAAAAATACCACAAGTGTAATTACTCTAGCACAGCTATTAATGTGCTGGATGATAGGCCACTGCGTCACATGACCTTCTATTGTTCACAGGTTTAAAGAGAAAGCAGGGCTTTGTATTTCTTCTTCTTTTAAAGTCGACTTGAGCCTCTTTGCTTCTGTCCGGTGTGGGGAGGAACTGTGTCTGTTTAAACAATAGAGGTGTTTAGGAAAACTCTTTCGTTTTCCTGCCGATTGCTCAAGATTACGTAATAATCATACAGAGTGTTTATTTCCTACTGACAAACCAAGAACTTGTTACGTCACCAATGGTACCAGGAGTGAAGATGGGGGTTTTGAGCAGGTTAGAGTTTACCACCCAAAAAAGGAGCCACCCGAGGCATCCCAGCTTCTAGCAAACTTTTTCCCTATTGCACATCTCCGTTCTTAAATGAAGGCTACTCCTGTATCATTTCATTCAAGTACCTGGGTATAGTACTCAGGTTCCCCTCAAGAGTTCATCAGTAAGCAGCATCCTTTTGGCCTGTGGTCCTGTTTGGTTTTGCCCCTACCCAGACTGTTCTAGAAGACAGGCCAACAGAATGTTGATAACTTTTAAATAACACATTTTATAGATAAATGTGACATTTGTCATCTAAGACAACTGCACTCCTCTGCAGCATACATTCTCAATGGGGGGCTGTATTGCCCTGAGATTGGCTCTGAGATACTAGTGTCGTGTCCTTCCAAAGGACCGTAATACACGAGCAAATACTCACATTTCTTGGGGTAACGACACAAATAGAGACACAAAAGTCTAAAAGGGGACAATAATGAAAAAACTGTTGAAACCTTCAGCATGGTGGCGACAGGAGCCCGGGTCTTGCTCTGCATTAAACAGATATTTATTGAGCACGACTCTGTACCCTACAGGCCTTGTAGTCTTAAGGCTCCTGGGAATTGATGATAGGCCATTTACCCAGTTTCAGTTTAGAGGCAGATTCACTGGCCTTACTTAGCATTTCAGTAATTATATTTATTTATTTTTAGCCTGAACCGGATTTAATAGGAGAAACTACTTTCTGCGTTTCTTTTAATTACTTGTAGTTTACACAAGTAACTTTAGAAGAGTAAATGAAAGCATGCTTCAATGCTGCCACTGTAAATACCATTCATTAGTAACTTATTTTCCCTGGAGTCTTGTGAAGTGTGAATTTAAAGGCTGCTCTATCTGGAATAGTATTAAGATTACAAGCACATTTTATATTCATGAGGTGGAAAGGCAAAAAAAAAAAAAAGTGATCCTCCGTCTTCTGAATTCTCTTAACTATGTGACTAATTTCAATTAGTATGCTTTGTCATTACAAAACTGTTCAGGTTTCCGTCTCTGAACATTTGTTTTTGGCATCTTCTTCAGTAGCCCAAAACTGTCCTGCCATTTTCCAAGAACACTTTCCGTCCATAACGAGGCAAGGGGAATAAATTGATATAAATTCATGATTTGAGAAGTGGATTGTTTCCCTCTCTTCTACGAGTTTGGATCCCTGATCAGTAGACAGACACATAAGACAACTTTCTACTGTGCAAATTAAATAAAGATTCTGCCAGCAGGCCTTCCTTTCCATTACCGCCTATTTCCATTTTTCAAGACGAGTAAAAATAATAGTGGAACAATATCTTCAAAAAAAAATTACTAGAGCAACATAATGCATGATATACAATATATAAAATAGGACAGCAGAATCCACTACAGAAATAAAACATGGGACTTGGGACAGATTGCATTATGCTCTGAAAAGTGAAGTAACTAAGGGTAACCGTAAAGCTTCGTATTTATAGACTGCCTTTCTCCTGAGGATCTCAGAGTGGTTAATGTTCCAGGAGCCAGGGTGCTTATGGACTTCTGCACAATTACTTAGGCAACTTCAGTTTTTGGCAGAGGTGCCAGCTTGATATGAAACCACATACTGTGCAAGGACCATTTACATAATTAAGTCCATTTTTGTAACATACCTGATTCTAAGTGGACATCAACTACCAAAAAAAAAAAAAAAAAAGGAACCACTTTTTTTAGGCAGAAAAAAAGTAGCATAAGCAGTTAGTGAAAATTTCTCTCACCTTGGGTGGGTTGTTCTGACCACTTGGTTAACAAAGAGTGTGTTCAAAATGCCGTCTTGCGGATCAGGCACTGGGATCTCTCTGCAGCCCATCTTTCTTGTCTGAAAACGAAGGGATCAATATAAGTGCTTGCCTTTGGATGCCTTTCACTACTGTGGCTGTTGGGTCTCTGCCCATGTTCTGTGATCCAGTCCCAATCAGTAATGGCCTTGACCTAGAATACTTTGAGAGCTAAAGAGAATAGTCATCCCAAGAAGGTTGCCTTCTCTAGAGAGTGACCAACTCATCCCAATGAGCACATTCATATCAGCATTTCAATTTTGTCTTCAGAATTTTTGAGCAGGGAAGTTGCTAAAATAAATAATTAAGCTAGCAGAAGCCCCACTGCTGCCACATTCTGACCATAGAATAGTGAAATTGCCTTGTGAGAGCTTATCTTACAGTATTTCTAGTGGAGAGACACTTGGCAGAATTTCTGTGACTGAGAGAGGTGCGACCACTGTTGTCTCAGATAAAAGCAGTTAAGATGCTTGTCCAACTGCAGTTTGCAAAAAAAAAACAAACAACTAATAGTTCTGGCAACCGCTCTGCCAAAAAAAAAGAAAGAAAGAAAAAAGAAAAAAGGCTTTATTGCAATTATAAAAGAGTTGCTGGAAAAAGTACTGGATGCAAATTATTTGACACACTGTCGGAGAGTGTGGAATGTTCAGATTTGCCGTTCATCAAAACGAGTTCACCACATTTGGAAACAAAAACAGCATTTTCCCCCTACTTTTTAAAAGAAGGCAGTTATATACAAGCAGAGGAAAGAAAAAGCTTCGGGCTTACAGAGGGCCGAGCTTTGACAGTCCATTATCCAGTGCTGTGTTCCGTGAGTGTGCACAGGACTTCTAAGACAGAGCCTGTACCTTGAAAGCCTTGGCTTTAGGGTTTGTGTAGTGAGTGAGGCTGCCATGGTCATACTAGGCAAACAGACTTCTGTGACCCAGCTTTGCACTCTTTTGGCTTTTACTTTCTCTCTAGAGGCAGGATTTCCAGAATAATTTGGACTCTTGTATGATTGGCCAGCGGAAGTCACTGTGCCAGATCGTCTTGTGACTATTCTTTTTTCTCATTAGGATGGAAAAGCAGGTATCGTGTACTCTGCAAGAGGACAGTTGTGATAAATCTTGGTTTAATTACAGCTGACAGTTTTTGCAAGTGTCCCCTTTAATAAAATGAAAAGTCAGTGGGCCCTCATCACCACCTGAATGAAACAAATATGGGTGCTTTCGTCCAGTGGTGTATGTAACTCGTGTCTGCATTTCAGCCTTACTGTCCCTTTCATTCAAATGCAGTGGAACAGGAAGGAAATCGTATCCTACCTACCCTAAATAGAGTTTAGGATTTCTTCTTTTTCATTTCCCCAGGTTTTTGATGTGACACTCACGTGGAGTGACTTTGTCACCTTTAATATTGACGTATAATTAGGCACCAAAAAGAAATATGATTTAGAGCTTCCTTTTGCCAGAGATCTTTCTTTAGTCCTAAAATCCCAGTCAACTGGTCGGACCCTGAAACATTACGTGGTGTTTCCTTCAACCAGTTATCTCAGACTGTACTAAACAGATTCAAAAATCATTAAAACAGAAATGATGGGAGGAGATAAAAAATTGATTCCAATTCTATAATGTCTTCCTTTTCTATAGGATCAAAGAGGTAAATGTTTATGGAAGTTCTCATAAGTTTGAGCAGTGCAGCCAGAATAATCTGATCAAAATCTCTAATATCCAATAGTGGAGTCATCAAAATGGATAAAGAAATAAAAATTCCATTATATTTCACTGTGATCTGGAAATATTCAGCTCCTCTTAAAAAATGCATCCGACATAAACCTCATATTAGATAGCCTGTCTAAACCACGTGACTACCAAGCAGGACCAAATTGAGTCCTTCCTACCCACGGGCGCTTTGGCCCCCCCACCCCAGTCCCCAGTCCAGCTGTTCAAAACCAAGCTTGGGACAGGTGCCATGAGTCATTTTTAAAGCAAAATCTTTCAACACCTCTTAGAAACTTGTGTTTGCCAGCCATGCTACAATTGATTCAAACTAAAGATTATTGAGTACACCCATAATTAGTAGTTTCCTCATCTTACATACCCTGTGTCTTCATAAATTATCTTTTGGTTGATGACAGGCTTCAATGGCTGAGAACAGTATACCTCTATACACTACCGCTTCCATGGGAAATCCCACTCTGGGCAACTTAGCCAGCGCAATACGGGAAGAGCTGAATGGGGCAATGGAGCATACCAACAGCAACGAGAGTGACAGCAGTCCAGGCAGGTCTCCTATGCAAGCCGTGTGAGTATCATCCACCCAAAAGGTCTTTGCTGTCAGACCCTACGCTCCCTATGTGCACACAGCCTCTCTCTGGGCTCTATATACCTTTTCTGTGATTTCCAGTTTCCCAGAACCAAGCTAGAAGTTTGTGCTTCGAGAAATGTTCAGCTTGGTTAGTGCATAAAAGGACTATTTGCTAACTTTCCCATAAAAGCAATTCGCAGCAATAAAATGGGCAGTGGGTTTACTTTTCTTCTCTGCTTTTATCATTGCAGGCCATTACTTAACCCACACTTCTTTTTCCTCCTCAAATAAATATGCATCCCTGTGAAAAAGTTGGCAGTTTGTTCAACATTTGGGCGTGCGGAACGTAATCGAGAGAAAAAGATGCTTGTTTACTCGGTGGTGCTCTAAGGTTAACCACGAACACGCCGCTGCAGCGTTATTACCAACCATTAATGACGGCACAAATGAAAGGCGGCGTGATTTATAGATTGCTCTTAAAATATCAAAAGGAAAATTAATAGGAGCATTATAGCAGCAGACGGCAGTATAATGAGCGCACATATAACTGAAGCGATGGGCGATGGTTGCCCATGCTGAATGTGAATGGCACCAGGACTGCAAACCACAGGAACGGCAGAGGCCAGGAGACTGTGACGCCCCTGTGAGTGGGTGATGGGAGAAAAGTCGGTGTAACTAGAAACCCCTCTCTCCCAGGAAAAGTTTTCAAACAGAGGGAAGAAACTACATTCATCCAAATGATTGGCCTTGCTGGAGATACTGTGAAGTGACAGTCTCTCCCTTTTAGTGAGTTTCTTGAAAACTGTTGCCCATTGTAAGCAACTAACCCATTTCATGTTTGCGATACTGTCAATTTCTAGAATAGGCTGCTTGTCTACACATTGCTTCTGAATTACTGACCAACATCTTATTTTAAGATAATATAAGTAATAGGAATGGAAAGTATGACCTGTAACAATTAGGAACAGACAAAATGGGCATCTAATGACAAAGAAAAAAGTGTTATCTGCCAGCATGATTTTCTAGCATTTGAATTTCATCTCCACAGCACTTCAAAAAGGATCTTTACTGTTCTTTGCAGAAATGGAAATAATCATTTTTAATTTATATGAACAGTATCTTAGCATTTACTTCACAACGTTTTAAGAATGTGTTTATCTTTCACACTGATGCTGCTATATTTCATCCTTTCCAAAGCAAGTTAGTGTTTCCGACTTTCTCGTTATCACACTTGTATTCATCTGAAATCATTGTCATGACAGGAGTATTTACTTAGATACTAAGGAAGTTCAGAGCAAATGTAAATTGGCATATAAGCTACTATAAGAAATATTCATTAGAGCAAAAATGAAGTTCTGGAATGGAAGTGATACTATTTCTCATAATCTGTACAAACTCCCAAGGTTTTGTTGACATATATTCCTATTATTTGGCGTGAAGAATCACTGAAACAAAACAAAAAGATACTTGGATACAAGCCACAGGCACCAGTTCAGGGTGATACTGATTTTGCTGTACAAAAGAAAGTCACTGCAGGCTTAATTAGTTTAACATATTTGAATTAACCTCAGTATTACCCAAACCATGTTTTACAACAGTCTGAGTTTTGATGAAATGAGGGTTTCAACTATTTTTTAAAAGAAACGCTACGCAAAGATGTCAGAATGCCTTGCTCAAATCTCACAGGTTTGTGCTGTTTGCTAAATGTGATTACATGTCAACAGCAGATTCCCTGCGCCTGCTATCCGTGTCATAGACTGTTACTCTTTTTGACCTCATACAGCAATTAAGGGACTTCTGTGATGACAAAAGAGTTTCCATTCTTGTCCAGTATGCATTACCCTGCTATGATGCAAATTGTTTTTCAACTGTTCCAGTCTATTGGAATAAATCAAGCTGTAAACTTTATGGCACGGTTTGAAGGGCCTTGTTAGGAAGGCAGCCTAGCTGATATTCGAGTGTTGAAACAGAACTCTTCATTCTTACCCTCTCTGTGACAGTCAGATACCACTGCATTTCATTCCTCCTTTGAAACACTAGAAAGTGGTCACATAATTATGGCTTTGGGGCATTATACTTTTATCCTGATAGGCGCTAAAGGAGCTACAAAGCAAAATACTCCATGCTGTGCATACACCCCCAGAACACAATGCCTTTAAACACCAGTCAGCTTTGTTTTAAAACTCTTGTGTTCCCAGAGTGGCAAAACAAAGGAATTACTCAGATGTAAGGAGAAGGGAAATGTGTGGTTTTGCACAGTTATTCATTGGTAGCCCTTTCGGAAATAGGAGTTGGGGAGAAAGAGTTGGGGCAGTGTCTGCAAGGAGAGGAAGGTGCGTTGTGCAGCCCTAACTTGTAGGAGACACGGTGAGTGTATGTGAAGCCTAGTGTCTCAGGTAGTCTGCGTCTCATCTGAAACGGATCTTTCGTGGAATCCCATCTTCCTTTATTCCTTGCAGCACTGTATGCCTGTGCTCCACCTTTTTGCCACACCCCAGGGTTATCTGCCAGTACCAGAAAGTGTCCTGAATTGGATTTCATTTCTCTGGAGTTTAAAAACCTTAACTGTGTAACCTGACTGTGTCGCCAGGTGGTCACACGGTAGATCTAGCTAGTTAACATTTGTTGGGGACCCACTCTGATGAGGCACTGGTAGTCGAGCCAGCAGGGATGACAGGGTCGTTACCTCTGTCTTCAAGATAGTAAATAATCCTAATAAATGTTGGCTACAATTTAGGGAGAATGCTTTTTCTTTACTTCTGTAGCTTCTCAAATCGATACATCATACCTGTACAGATTTGGGGGGGGGGACATTTGTTATTTTGATACATATACACAATATGAAATGAGGATAACTAGGTAAACAAATATTCTCTGATGTTGTGAACTGTGTTTTGTGGGACTTTACATGTATCCGATTTTTGGGGTAAGATTAACAAAATATTTGTCAAAGTCTAAAATTATACAGCAAGAATGTCATTAAGATGGAGATGGCTCTGTTTCTTCTAGGGGGTTCCCCCATCCTCCCTCTCCCTTCCCAAAGTCTTATATGATCTTACATTCTTGTATCATTCAGCTCTGGATTGTAAATTTGAAAAGATTGATAGAACTGATAAGAAAGTAGGAAAATGTTGATTTGGAAAACAACACTTGAACCTCAGTAGATGGCTACAATATACATTTCAGTAATTCATAAAAGTTGCAGTTCTCAGCAATGAAAGTTTGAAAATGAAACATTAAGAAATGTTCACCAGTGTCAGTAATCCAAGAAACACCATCTAAGGTAACCTGAGTTTACCTTATACCTGCTAAGCAACAAAGTATTTTTTAAAAATAATGCTTGCTGCTGATGAGATTGAGCTTAAATTGATAGCCCCTTTGGAAGTTAATATCACAGTAAATCATAAGAACCATAAAGATGTTTTGGCCTTTGGTCTAACAATTCCATTCTTAGAAATTTATCCTAAGGAGGTAAATCAACAGAAGTAGGAAGATTAATGGATAAAAATGGTCATTGCATTATACAAACAGTGAAAGGAAAAAAAAGATGATCCTAAAATGCCTAGTATTAAGAAACTGACATATTTCAACACAGTGGAATCTCATCTAGCCATAAACATTATAAACTATAAAGCTAAGAAAATAAAAAAATACTACTCCTGCTGAGTTTACAGTATTTTAAAATATGACTCCAAATAGAAAGAGATTGGATAAGATAAGAAAACTGGCTTTGTGTTTTTTTAAGGAGTAATCATCAGTGTACCTAATTCGTCCTAAAAGAATGTAGAGTATCCTAGCAAGGCTCGTTCACAGGTGTGTGACATGCAGCCACACAGGATCTCATGCCTAAAAGGACACTACACTTGATTTTATGTGTTCTTTTTATTACCTTATTTTATTTAGAGACGGGGTTCTTGCTGTATTGCCTAGGCTAGACTCAAACTCCTGAGCGCAAATGATCATCCTGCCCTAGCCTCCCAAGGATCTTGGACTACACGCACACACCACACCTGGCATGCACTTGCTTTAATGGCATTTCTGTCCTGAAATTTTAATTTTGAGCCAAGGACATTTTCATTTTGCACTAGCCTTTGCAAATTATGCAGCCAGTCCTAATTCTTACTGCAGAAACACTAATATGGCCATTAAAAAAAAAAATCCCCATATCTAATGTTTAATACAGACTGATGGGAGGTGACTCCCCGTGCAGCCTTCCTTGCACAGATATACAACTGTTTCCCTTCAATAAAAGTATCGGGCCAGGCATGGTGGCTCACGCCTGTAATCCCAGCACTTTGGGGAGGCCGAGGTGGGTGGATCACTTGAGGTCAGGAGTTCGAGACCAGCCTCACCAACATGGTGAAACCCCATCTTTACTAAAAATACAAGAATTCACCAGGTGTGGTGGTGGGCCCCTGTAAAATCCCAGCTACTTGCAAGGCTGAGCCAAGAGAATTGCTTGAGCCTGTGAGGTGGAGATTGCAGTAAGCAGAGATCCTGCCACTGTACTACAGCCTGGGTGACAGAGCACAACTTCATCTCAAAAAATAAATAGATGGAGAGCCATACATAAAATGTAATGTAATGCAACTTCACTGTATTTTGTCTCGCAAATAGTTTTTACGAATAAAGGCATTATTTTTGAAGCTATTTATCTATCATCGTCTAGCCCCCCCCCACCACCACTGACCCCGCCAAAAAAAAAAAAACGCTCTCTAAGCTGTGCTGATTTTAGAGTCAATTGATTCTGAAGGTTCCTGTCTTCAAGGGCAGTCCAAAGCACTCCTCTGTTTGTTTTTAAATGGTTCAAGGGGCCTTTGGGGTTTGCATACAGCATCAATTATTTAGGAAGCCAACCATCCCCATTACCACCTCTTATTACTAATACTTGATAATGTCAGTTTAAAAATCTTCCCTTCTGCAGCCTGTCCCAGAGATGGGACTGTTTTTAACTTGAATGGTTTTTCACATATCAAAAGCCCCTGCAAGACAAAGTCATTTGTATTTGCAAAGGATCAGTTGTAAACATGATTTACGAACACCACTTCTCAGTTGTTATCCGAGTGGTTTTGTGTGATCACCCCAGTTCCCCTCCGGGTGAACCACGGTCTGGTCCATAATGAGAAAGTTGGCAGATCTCACTGCAACCTCCAGCATCCCAGTGGCTGCTACCAGCCGGGCCTCATGTTTTGCCTCGTTTACAGCTGACAGTGTTATTATTCTGATCGGGGCTCTGCTTTCTTATCATATTGTTGTGTTGAGCGAGCCTTTTCCTCTCCGTTTGTGTTTCCTGGCAGGGCTTTTCTTGCCTTATTGACAGTTTGTAAAAATATGCATTAATTTGGAGTTTCAAGCATGTATCATGGTGTCTCTTTGCTGTGTTTGCTTGAAGTTGATTAATGATAGAACCTCGCTTGGGGTCGTCCTCTGGAGAGTTCTTTCACAGGTTCTGCATGTTAACTAGCAAAGCAGAACACACAGCAAGCCATGATTAGCCCAGCCTCCTGTGCTCAGTGGTCCCCACAAACTGCCGTTGCATTAGAGATTCTTGTTTCATGTAATTATTTGAAGATCGGTATTCATCCACCCAGGATGCCACTATGGGGCCTGTTATCCAGTACTCAAAGTGTGGTTCCAGGACCCACGGCATCACCTGGGAGCTTGTTAGAGATGCAGGGTCTCAGGCCCCACCCCAGACCTGAATCGCACAATGCATTTCAGCAAGGCCTGCAGGAGACTTACAGCCTTAAAGGTGCATTAAAGTATGAGAAATGCCACCAGAAAGGAGAGGTCTGTACCTGCCGAGAGACTCGTCATTCAGAGCAGCACTACCCAGGAGAACTTCCTGCAGTGATGGAAATGTTCTGTCTGTGTGCTGTCCAGAATGGTAACTGCTAGTCACATGGAGCCTCTGAACATGTAAATTTTGGCCAGCGCAACTCAGAAACTGACTTAAATTGTGTGTTAAGATTTCATTCCTTTCAGTAGCCACATGTGGCTAATGGCCACTATACTGGACAGTAGAGTTGTAGTTCTAGAGTGTGGCTTTTCTGTTGCCCCAAACTTTTAAGTGCTTCTGGGCTGCAATGGGCTGGAAAGTGCCCACACTGAACCTCTGCTTATTTATTCCAGGCATCCTGTACACGTCAAAGAAGAACCCCTCGACCCAGAGGAAGCTGAAGGGCCCCTGTCCTTAGTGACAACAGCCAACCACAGTCCAGATTTTGACCATGACAGAGATTACGAAGACGAACCAGTAAATGAGGACATGGAGTGAATATCGGGGCGGGCCAACCCCGAGAATGAAGATCGGGAAAAGGAAAAAAAAAAAAAAACACAAACGTCAAAAGTTAGCAGTGAAATTGTTCTCCATTTGTTGTACAGTCTGGAGGATTTTCACTACGTTTTGACAACTCTGAAACGTGTTAACTCTTAGTGCCATCAAGAACCCCATTTGGGAGTATTTTTGATTTTTCTACTTTTTGTTGAAAAAAGGAATTTGTACTCTGTGCATTGGATGGACTTGTTTGGTACTTGGGATTTTCCTCTCTTAACCGTCAACATCAGTGTTGTAAATTTGCTAAACTGATTCACTTTTAGCAGCAGACTTTGAACTGCAGTCCTGCCAACGTTGGACACGGAGGACGCCCGACGGAGCTTGTGCACCTAAGCTGCAGACCAAGCCTTTGCCCAGAATTTAAGGATTCCAATGGACGACCTATTTGCACAGTACTGCATGTTGATTATCACTGCCTTTACTCCATTTCCTTTTTTTTTTTTTTTTTTTTTTGCTTCCAGTTGGGATGGGGAAGGCCTTTGTGTGTGTATTGGGGGGAGGGGTTAAAAAATAATTATCCCAAACTTTTTAATGTATTGCTTTTTTTTTTTTTTTTTCCCCCCTTCTACTATACCATTTTAAGTTCTGACCTCAGGCCTCCATTTGGGCCGATGGCCTCTTGGAGGCTTAAAGTTTTCTGTACCTTGTGATGAATGTTAATAGGTGTTTTTATTATACAAAGCTGAATGTCATTTCTCGTTTGTAGCTTTCTGTCACTCATTCCATCTTCCTTCAGACATCACCGTTTCTCTAAAGTCAGAAAACATTCCGTTTTGGTCTTTTTCAAAAAGGTCCCAAATGCTGCACTCTATACATGAAGGCCCTCTCACACAGACGTGACGTCCTGCCAGAAAGAGAATGAATGACAGAAAAAAAAAAAAAAAAAAAAGAGACACACCCTAGGAACAATGCCGATTCATTCCACGCAGTGGTATTGGGGGTGGTTGGGGGGAGGGATGTTTCGGATTTTCCTTTTTTTTTTCTTTTTGCAGCAACCATCATTCTTAATAAATGCCACCACATTCTACCAGCACAGGGAAACATAGGCAGCACCGGAAAAAAAGCTCATACGAATTAGACTGACGGTATGGCCGTGGAAGGCTCTCCCTTGTGGAACCAATTTGCCATGGGCCTTAGGAGCTCTGTGATAATGAGGGTGGGTTGGTTTTGTTTGCAAGTTGGCCAAAAACCCGGCCCTGGTGGCGGCAGCGCTGAGTTTTATACATTAGTTCAGACCTGCTTGGTGGCATTAAACTGTTCGCATGCAAATTCCATTTCAGATTGAACTTCTTAAGAGAGTTAATGAGGACTGAGTTCAGCAAATGCTAAAGTGTTAATTTCAAATATGCAAATTTGATACTGCAGTTTATTATGCAATATTATATCACCAACCCAGTATCAGAAACTCATAGAAGGTATCATGTAGGTCCTGGGCTTTGGGAGTTCCCACACATGGTATGCAGAATGTGACAGTTACAGGTCAGTACAACCTCAGTCCTTAGAACCCCTCTGCACTTCCACTCTGCACCCACTTTTCCTGTCATTTATTTATCTAGGACTGTAGCTCATTTTTTAGTTCGAGAGCCTTTCAAATCTTAATTTATATTCTTTGTACCTTTTTTTTTCCTAAAATTACCAAAGATATTACACAAAGGTAAATTAAGTTCTCTGTTTTATGCTTTATCTGATGAAGCCAAATATCCTCTTATTGTTGATCAAAGGAGGCAAAAGAATTTAGAGGCAAATGACAAGCGATAGGCTATTGCAACCTGAGAAAGAGAACTGCTCCTTCATCATAGAGTAAATTTAGAAGACCAAGTAGAAAATGGAACCAAAGTTGTTACTTTTTTCTAGTAGTTATTTTTTCTTTTTGTGTACCTCTACAGAGACCAAAACTCATTTCTCTTAGAGATTTTATGGGGCTACTGCAGATAAAAATAGGACACAATATTAAAGGAGCTACAGAAGGAAGGGAGTCCCATCTCAGAAAAAAATGAATGTATGCCACTGCAATTAGAGTATCCAATAAAGGAGACAGTTTAGAGTCAGAACAGAAAAGCTTCCATAAGTGAACTAGATCACATAATAGCATTTCTAGGAAAAAAGATATTTTAAGATTGTATGCCACTTTTGTTTAAGAACTGTGCTGTGATCACTGTATTAATTTTGGTTAATCTTGGCATATATCCTTCAGTTTTTTATTTTTAATTTTTCCTTCCTTTTCCAATTAGGCTTTGGTCAGCATTTTTCATTTAAAGAAAAGTAACACTCCCATCCACTCATAAGCTTGGTACAAAAACTTCTCTGGCAGTTACTTTTGAAGCTTCACTCTGCTTTCTGTATAAAGGGCAGTCTGTGGTCACGCAAGACTTTAAAAAAAAAAAAAAAAAAAAAAAAAACTTTTCCAGGCAGCTTCATGATGTGCAGGCAATAGCCAGACAGGGTCATGGGAAGGGGGCCCTGTGCTTCTAAACTGAGTGGTTGCTGGTTAGTTTGGTATTCAAAAGAGGATAAAAATCTGGTAGATTAGTTCATTCTCAGCATGTGTAGCTAGACATGAGTAAAGATAACAGCATGAGAAACTGTTAGTACGCATACCTCAGTTCAAACCTTTAGGGAATGATTAAAATTAAAAAAAAAAATACATTTCACTCAGTTGCACCTAGTCGTATGTCTTGCATGCTTAGTCTAAAGACTGTAGCAAAAAAAAAAAAAAAAAAAAAAAAAAAAAAGAAAGAAAAATTAGATTTTACATATCTTTGCAGGTATCACAGCCTTGCAGAAGAACCAACTGAAAAAAAAAATATTCTCAGGCTTTACAGCAAGCAAACTTCACTATGATTTTTACAGTTCCGATTCTGTATCCCCTGGGGGTTATCCCAGTTGCTTCTTTAGGATGGGGTTTATTATGTTGTACATATATCCTGATGTGTCTGTGTGAATCTTTGTCTTTTTTGGGGGAGGGCGGAGGGCGGTTCTTTTTTTAGATATTGTTCCTAAAAAGGAATAAATGCATACACCTGTTTGTCAAAACACCTTTGCTTTTTGTGCAACTGCTTTATATTAACGATACTAAAAAAAAAAAAAAATAGCTTTGGGAAAAAAAAAAACTACTGTATGTAATGGAATTGCAGAATATGCTGCACATGTATTTTATTTAGTTATCCTTGCTTTAAGATTTTGGATGACATTTCCTGACATGTGGGAGGGAGAAACTCCCTTTTTTTCCTGCTTTTAAATTGTAACATAGTTGAAGATTTTTTTTTTTTTCCTGTTCTCATTGATTGGAGCATTTTGTACAGGTTTTTTTGTGTGCGTGCGTGCGTGTGTGCGTGTTAATCTGTTTTTTGATACATTCCTGTCCCTTCTGTTTATCCTACCACTGCCTTCCTGGCTATCTTAAACAAGTTCATACATTTGAAAAGAAAAAAAAATATGTTGTTTAATAACTGTTTTCTCCTGCTGCAGTAAATATTTTGCATGATGAAATTCCAGGGTCACACTTTCAAAGTTTATCAGTGAAGTAGTGATTAACAATGGGGAGTGAACTTTTGTATAAAAAAAAAACTTTACAAGGTGCCAAAATGTAAAGAAAATTTGTAACTTTTTTTTTTCCTCAAAGAAAAGCGTACATTAGGGAGGTAGTCCTGTGTGTCAGACAAATGCACTGTCAGGAATGAGGGTCGAACCTACCTGTCCTAGAGTCTGTCTTGTAAGATGAGTTAGGCTGCCACCTTGGACCAGCAGCAAAATGGGATATCAAGGCTTATGTACATACATGAAGAGTTACTGCCATTCCTGCCACCTTTGGACAGCTCAAACAGCATCCCCAGAATCCCGTCAGACCTAGCAAATAAAACCTTGGATTCTTAACCCAAGATATGCTCTAAATCACTAGCTTTTTTTTTCCTCACACACAGAAAAAGAATTAAAAAATATTTCCTTTCTTTCCACATTCCAGCTGAGCTCTGTTTCCAAAGGCACAAAGAAGAGTGTGCTTATTCGGATTTTGAATCTTTTTGGTACCCTTTGGGTAATGACGTAGCCTCCTGAGATTTTGGATGTCTTCAAAGTCAGTTTTGCTTTTTTATCCCGAGAATCAGATTTACAATGCTAAAGGCATTTGTTGGGCCTAGTGTAGCTCATGCAATCTCTGCTACCCACCCATAAGCCTTGATGAAGATTATGATAGAGTCCGGACTGTGAGCATGGTGCTTCGTGTATATGTGCTGCCAGTAACAAGAATTTTTTTGCTTTGTTTTGTTTTGATAAGGCATAAAAGAAACTCATTCCTTGACATCAACTGTAATTCCATCATTCCATGTCTGCGGATACAGACAATAAAAAAAATGTTGTGTAGTCAGTACTAATTACTGACATTATAGCATTCTCAAATGCAATAAAAATGCTGGTTGTTGACACTGGTAGTAAAAGTCGCCACAGCCTAAGTTTCTTTTCCCTTCTGACCTGCTGATACTGTATGTCAGGCACATGCCTTAGATTTCTCACCAGCTGCTTCCAGTGCAGAATTAAAAATCAATCTTAACTGAAAGCTTTCATCATCAGGGAAGGCTGAAGCTCTTATCCTCAGGATTTCCAAGTGACAGTATCCACTTAGAGAATTGGGAAGTAAAAAAAAAAAAAAAAAAAAAAGATGCTATCTTTTGAGGAAGCACACCCTTATTTTTTTCATCAAATTTTATAAAGAAAACAAAATGTTTAATAACTAGCATTAAGAGCAAACTAAAATTTCAGAGGAAAGCAATTCATGAATAATTCATTAAAATTTCACATCTGCAAGATTAGTCATCCAAATAAAATGCTAATGTCAAAAACATGCACCGTCTATAATATTCTCATCAAGAAATCTTTTTGCATATAATGATAAATGCTTAGATTAGAACAAATGATTTTATAAAAATATTCTATCAAAAGTATGCCAGATAATTGTATTCATTGAAGAAAACAGAACTTCGCTACCTAAATATTCCAGAAAAGCCATCTTGAGATTTTTTTAAAATGACATGCATATAGGAAATTTGCTATTTCTTTTTAATATGACTCTACAGTATATATTCTAGGGATTAATGAATTCGAGCATCATCTTTCAGTAAAAATTAAATTGCCAATATGAAAGCAGTATTTTAAGTGGCCAAACCATGGTAACATAAAACCGTTACATATATAATTCAGAGCACATAATGCAGGGCAAAGGATGACTTGAAAATTAACCTCGCAGTCTTTATTCTGCAAAACACCCACCGACGCTGAGGAAGATACCAACATTCTTTCCCAGCATTGTTTTGAAAAGCCTGTATTGGGAAACTCTGTGTGTGTGTGTGTGTGTGTGTGTGTTTGTGTGTGTGTGTGTGTGTGTAACAAGATTTTGTTATTAAGTTGGAAACAAGTGTCCTCTGTGATTGGGAAAGGGGTGTTTGTGTATGTGTATGTGTGTGTGTGTGTGTTTAACAGGATTTTGGTATTAAGTTGGAAACTAGTGTCCTCTGTGAATTAACAGGCCCTATCTAGAAACCCCTTAGTCTGATCATTAGCAAAACATTTGAACCTTTAATTCTTACCTGGCTACTGAGACTGTTACCTTAGGGTTAATTCAAATTTCTTTAATTACCAGGCTTAAACCTAAATGCTGCTTATAGCATATACATTTAGTAAAATTTAAAAATGTGCAGATAACTTCTTTTAATGAACTGGAGGACCCAAACTAAGTATGACGGTATGCTAGTGAAGATTTTGCTCGTTGATGCATAGTACATTTTAACTTATATTTCAGGAATTGTTCTCAAGCAGGAACACTCTTTTACATATTTATTTCAGGCTTGTCACTCTCATAAACGAGGCAGCAAACCCAAAATATTGGCTCTTCTTATAAATAGGCGCCTTTATATAAAGAACAGAAAACTCTTAAGACTAATTTCACACCAACACAGGCAGCTTCGTAATAGTAACCACCTCTCCCTCCCCCACCAAAAAAAGATAAAGTATAATTAGTCTTTCTTATTAGATTTTGTCTTTGATGATATTACATATTTGTGTGTAGGGTAGTAATCACAATTTATCTTTCATCTTCATTGTAGTTGAATAAAAGTATTCTTTATTTAAATAATGTGAAGTTGGGTCTCAAACCTTCATTTAAGAAATTGATGAAAGGTTTAAGACAAAATTCACATTGGAGGAAAATTAAGTTACATACAAAAACACTGGTTTTAACTGTGGGACAATATTTGGATTAGAAAACCATCTCTAGATAGAACCTACTTATATTTATTTTTAAACAGTATTTTATTTTTTAAAATAACAAAACCCAGTGTCGTCTTACTTCCACTTTGATTATTAAATGACATTCAATGCTTAATACCTATACACATATATATATGCATTTGAAATTATCAATGGTCCTTTTTTTTGGTTTATATTGCAAATATTGTGAGGGGGGAAAAGACATGCTTCAAGTTATAATGTTAATTTGAAGGTAACCGGCCTTTCAAGAATTAATTTCAGCCAAAGCAATAATCATTATTTACCGGCGTGTGACATTTTTATCACTCATCATATTAGCAAATTTCCATTGAAAATGCTAAAATGGTTCGTCATAAGGCAGAGAACTGCTCGGGCTGTAAAAATGACCAACAGAACTGCCGGTACTCAAACATTAAATTATCCTGTAATTAATAAAGACAGTTAAACTGTCTACTAGCAACAGCAATTTAGGTAACCACATTTGATCAGCTATAAATTGTAACTACATTAAAATTCCAGAAATATTAGCAATATGGATTACTTGATAGGAGTCAGTGCTGATCACCAACTCTTTTTCTTTTTCTTTTTTTTTTAAACAACGGAAGCACAGGTCATGTTGACCACAAATCCGTGGGTGAAGATCAGGCCTGAACACTTTTAATCTTGTGAAACAAGCAATTACAAATAGTTGCATCGATTTGTTAAAAAGCTTTAGGTGACATAAATTGTTTCCTGTTTAGCTTATTGCTCTGATACATAAATGTCACCAAGCCCATTATTAATTAGGACCATAGGACAGCACAGGGTGGCTGATATGGCATCCAATCAAGAATTTGTCAGTTCTTTGTGAAAGTTCTTAAGGGCTGCTCTCCCTAGCTCATTTCTCATTAGTGAGAGAGGGAGAAGAGGAAAAAACTGTTTTGTTATGCGAAGTCTTTAATACCAGCTTGATTTTGGGTTTTAAACCAAATCGCAGGATTTCAGACTTGCTTTCTTACCATTTGACATAAAAACGCCCCGTTTTAAAAATATCTTCTAAATAGAATAATATTTGCAAGGCATTTTAGTCCCTGAAAAGCTAACACTTTTTTCCCCTTTTCAATATAGGGTACTCTATGTGTTTCCTTGGGTTTATATTTCTACACTTAAAATACAATTTTAAATGGCTTTTGCACGCTATTGACTTAACATAAATCAAATGTATCATATATACTTTCTTTAGGTTGGCATGCCACTTAGAAAAATATGTGAGATTCTGGAGGAAAAAAGTCTGGAGAAAATTTATTAAATAGAAGTTTTTACTGTAATAGAATATTAATGTAAGCCAATGCTCTTTTGCCATTAAGCTGATCTTTTTTTTTTTTTAACATACACATGCTTTTTATTATTTTGCACTCAAGCAAAAATTCCACATTCAAAGACTTTCCATCTAGTGGGGAATGTCTCTGGCAAGAAACATGTCAAGAAATCATGACCTCCCCAAAACAGCAGACATCATCTGCACTGAGCATTCGCCCCACTGGGCAGGGAACGCGAGCCCACTCTCCCCAAAACCTAAGGTAGACCGCTGGTCACCAGTATGCAAGAGGCAGAAACAATTACTCTTGAAATCCTTCCTCACTGCTTCTCCACCAGCGCACAGATGAAAAATGTTTGATTTGCAACATAAAAGATTCATTAATTACCACTTGAATATTTAAAGCTAGTTTGCAGTCTAACAGAGATAGATAAAACAGTGAATTAAAACCCCTAATAAAATTGTAAAAATATTTCGGTAAGTTTACCCGTGTTATGATTTCGGAAGAGATTCAAGCATTCTCATGGAATTGAG